GTATGCTGGTTAGGTATGCTAGTAAGTTATGTTGGAAAGGTATGCTGGTTAGGTATGCTAGTAAGCTATGTTGGTAAGGTATGTTGGTTAGGTATGCTAGTAAGCTATGTTGGTAATGGTTGCTGTTAGGTATGCTAGTAAGCTATGTTGGTAAGGTATGCTGTCTGGTTAGGTAGACTACAAGCTATGTTGGTAAGGTATGCTGGTTAGGTATGCTAGTAAGCTATGTTGGTGAGGTATGCTGGTTAGATATGCTAGTAAGCTATTTTGGTGAGGTATGCTGGTTAGGTATGCTAGTAAGCTATGTTGGTAAGGTATGCTGGTTAGGTATGCTAGTAAGCTATGTTGGAAAGGTTCGCTGGTTAGGTATGCTAGTAAGCTATGTTGGTTAGGTATGCTAGTAAGCTATGTTGGTAAGGTATGCTGGTTAGGTAAGCTAGAAATCTATGTTGGTAAGATATGCTGGTTAGGTATGCTAGTAAGCTATGTTGGTAAGGTATGCTTGCTGGTAAGGTATGCTGGTTAGGTATGCTAGTAAGCTAGCTGGTTAGGTAAGCTAGTAATCTATGTTGGTAAGATATGCTGGTTAGGTATGCTAGTAAGCTATGTTGGTAAGGTATGCTGGTTAGGTAAGCTAGTAAGCTATGTTGGTAAGATATGCTGGTTAGGTATGCTAGTAAGCTATGTTGGTAAGGTATGCTGGTTAGGTATGCTAGTAAGCTATGTTGGTTAGGTATGCTGGTTAGGTAGACTACAAGCTGTGTTGGAAAGGTATGCTGGTTAGGTATGCTAGTAAGTTATGTTGGTAAGATATGCTGGTTAGGTATGCTGGTTAGGTATACTAGTAAGCTATGTTGGTGAGGTATGCTGGTTAGGTATGCTAGTAAGCTTTTTTAGTGAGGTATGCTGGTTAGGTATTCTAGTAAGCTATGTTGGTAAGGTATGCTGGTTAGGTATGCTAGTAAGTTATGTTGGTCAGGTATGCTGGTTAGGTATGCTAGTAAGCTATGTTGGTAAGGTATGCTGGTTAGGTATGCTAGTAAGCTATGTTGGTAAGGTATGCTGGCTAGGTATGCTAGTAAGCTATGTTGGTTAGGTATGCTGGTTAGGTATGCTCGTTAGGTAGACTACAAGCTATGTTGGTAAGATATGCTGGTTAGGTATGCTAGTAAGTTATGTTGGTAAGGTACGCTGGTTAGGTATGCTAGTAAGCTATGATGGTAAGGTATGCTGGTTAGGTATGCTAGTAAGCTATGTTGGTAATGTTTGCTGGTTAGGTATGCTAGTAAGCTATTTTGGTAAAGTATGCTGGTTAGGTATACTACAAGCTATGTTGGCAAGGTATGCTAGTTAGGTATGCTAGTAAGCTATGTTGGTTAGGTATGCTGGTTAGGTAGACTACAAGCTATGTTGGTAAGATATGCTGGGTAGGTATGCTAGTAAGTTATGTTGGTAAGGTATGCTGGTAAGGTATGCTAGTAAGCTATTTCATAGAAATGTATTTAGATGTTTTCTTTTGGTATGACTCTTGATTATGTTCATTAGATATGTTTATTAACTATCTTCTTTAATATTATTAATGACAATCATTGTTAGCTATGTTCACAAGGTATGCTAGTTAATTATGTTCATGCCGTATGTTCGTTAGGTGTGTTGATTAGGTATGTTACATAGGTATGATTTGATTTTTTTGGCAGACATGGCATTTGACTGGGTGGGCGAGAAGATGTTCACCTGCCATAGCAAGCTCAAACTGATAAAAGCCTGGGATGTTGTGACAGGGAGATCGTCAATCATCTACTCTGGCAATGATGTGAAAAAAGTATCAGAGCTAGCTATAGACCCGCACAGGGCGTAAGTGGACACCACTGTTGCTCGTTTTTGTACATTACTTCTTTTGAGAAATGAACAAGTTTTATCTAAATAAGAAGTACCGTGATAAAGCAATAGAGTATTTATCTCGGGAATTAATTTAATGCTCAAAGAGTTTCCCGCAAGTAATAATCAGACAATTTTAAGCGTTATTTTACCTAAAAATATGACAAGAGACCGTATTGGCAATATGAGACAAGACCAACAGTTTTGAGTTCTGTAAAGTGCCTAATAGCAATATTCTACAAGTTAACTATGACCTACCGTTAGTATTGATCTATAATTGGCAGTATCCATTTGATGCCTGGCCTACTTCTATTCTACTAACCTCTGACCCAGAATTGGTGTAAGTCTATTGGCATCGGGCAAAACATTGATTCCAGTTTATTCAGAACTACTATTGTTACATGTATCATTCTATTAATCTATTTATAACCTACTGTTACTACTATATTGTGACCTATGACCTTTTAGTATTTGTAGTCTATAGACATTTGGCGAAGTTTGGTTGTAGTATATTGATCTACCTGAATACAATACCCACTCTTGATTGTGACCTATGACCTATTATCGGCTGTAGTCCATGGACATTTGGCGTAGTTTTGTTGTAGTATATTTATCTACCTGAATACAATACCCACTATATATTGTGACCTATGACCTATTATCGACTGTAGTCTATAGACCTTTGACTTAGTTTGGTTATAGTATATTGATCTACCTGAATACAATACCCACTATTGATTGTGACCTATGACCTATTATCGACTGTAGTCTATAGACCTTTGACTTTGTTTGATTGTAGTATATTGATCTACCTGAATACAATACCCACTATTGATAGTGACCTTTGACCTTTTATTGGTAATAATCTTGTAACATATGATATTGCATTTTCACAGTAACCTATTTTGGATAGCTGACACAATTGATGGGCTAGGTATCTACGTTGGCACGTTTACAGGAGATAGACCTGTCAAGCTTATAGGTAGTGGTACTCTTACCAACCCGTCCGGGATCAGCTACGAATATCTAGACGACAGGTTTGTATAAGATTCAGAACGATTGTAGTTCCTTCCTTGTTTAGGGAGATCAATGTCTGCACTTGTTCCACCTTCTATTGGCTAATAAGGGGATTACCTATTGTATTTTTGAGATTTGCGCTTCAGTATCTCCATTCTTATTTATATAAGCAAAAACCATCGAAAAACACCGATGATTTAAAAACATAATTTTCAGTGTTTTCTTCAATGTCTGGATTGGTTACGCCAGGAATAATCAAATTGTGGCAGAATTACGTTGATCTTTCGTTTTGTTTGTAACGTCATTGATAGTTAATTTTCTGACGTGTCGGGTCACTCATGGACAAGGACGTCATTTATAATCGCCAGCCGGATTCCGTATTATGCAATTGAAAAAATTGCGGGCGGCATATCGTGGTTATACCTTCGAAATAAGCCCCCTCACCACATTGCCAAATGTCCTGGGAACATGCTGGGTAATCATTCAATTAAGGCCCCTCCCTAATTTGGTCTCATAATAACAATTAGTATTGTAATTTTGTCTCAAAACATCTGCAAATTAACTTATTGGGTGAAACGTGAACACAAGATACAAATCTTCACATAATCAGTTCTTTGATTTAAGTCCAATAGTAAATGGAATGTCGTGTCATGTACTAATGATAATGTATTTTTAATAAAGGATTATGTACTTATGTATCCATGAATGAATTAAGGATGAATATGATAACAATTGTGGAAAAGAATGCAAACATAACAAAATTTCGAGACATATAGATAGATGGCTGAACTTGAAACGAAAAGGTCGTTGTTTTTTCTAAAAGAGATCATGCTTTCCGTTTTTACGGGTGTGTAGTTGCATACATCAATTTAAAACGAAACGTTTGTTTGTCCCAAATCCTGTGTACGCATGATCTGTTTTAATGCATCAAATTATATATACATTTTTGAAGTTATTACAGAGACGTAATATTGTTTTCAAATTGATAATGTTTTCCTATGGAACCTTTCTGTCATTGTAAGTTTGATAAAAAAATCAAAAATAATATATCATACAAAATAGTGTTCAATGACATGTATTTCGGAACAATTGATCATAGAAAAACGTTTCAGAAAAACAACAGCACGATCAACTTACTGTGACTATTACATTTTCTGCTAGTTGTTAATTAGTTTTACAATATAATTACATGATATGTATTGTAGTCGTAGACCAAAACAGTGGTATATCCAAGATGGTGGACATTAGTAAAAATGAGGGCTACTCACAGTAAAGCCCCATTTCTATTTTTGGTCAATTTTGTTTTCAAGAGGGATAGGGGCGTAATTGCTGTCAAATATGTGTATATTGAATATAAATTTAACACAGAAGGCAAATGTGTGAAATTAAGTATATTAAACTTAACATATCTGTATCATTAAATCTATTAAACATACCTGTGGCCCAACTCGTCAGATGCTTGACCATTGTATTGTTACATGTATGTGGACTAATCTTATCAGATGAGTGGTCCTTTTACTCTCAGTTTTCAGGTCTCTAATGCTTTGAAAACACTTAATCGAAAAAGTTCAGAAAAGATTATTTTAAGCATTTTTGTGATCATTTTATCTTTATTTTTCAGTGTGTGCTTCATTGACAGTGGCCGTTTCGCTAGTATAACTGTTAACGGGACAATCACCAATCATCGAATATCTGTCGGTAGTGCTACAAAGTCACTTATTTACAAGGTAACGTAACACCCATTGTTACTACGTAGTTTGATGTTTAATCATTGTAGTAGGTAAACCAATATCACAACACTCTTTCATGCCTGCTTTTGTAGTTTGTTAATCTGACACAAAAATTTAGGTAAAAAAAATATATAACATAACATCCTGTATTAGGTTTTCAGTCAGGATCGTTCCCTTAAAAGACATACCTATAAAAAGTAAACCATATTTTTCAAAGTTCTGAACAAACAAAAGAAACGGGAGAGGCTTAGGAGGTAGTGATAACTCGTGCCTATTCCATTTGATTGATATAATAAATCATATTTGAATGATTGAACAAAAGTATCATCTAAACGTTGTGTGTTAACATCACTCACACAGAATTATGCAGTGTGGAACGCTGGCCCTGCCACACTGAAGATGTCTCTGTTTTCCCTGGACGCCTCCGTCTTCACCACAATTACAACCATGGGAACAATCCACTCTATTGCCCTCTTTTCTAAGGAAACGCAGAAAGCATATTTAGGTAGGTTTGCACTTCTCACACATTGTTATACTTATACCTCTCTCCATACGACAACTCAGTGTAACACTTCTGTTTATTTGAAACAGTGATCCACTTGTGTGAGTTCTGAGACAAAGGTATTCAGAATCATTGTAACACTTCTTTGCATCTAAACTTAACCTCTTTGTGTCCAGTCACGATACATCACATTTGTGAGGTGTCTCACTGTATGTCCTATCACAATAATATATATCTATTGTGTCCTATCACAATGAGCTACTTCTGTGTGCCCTAACTCAGTGAGACACATCTGTTTGTCCTATCACAATGAGATACTTCTGTGTGCCCTAACTCAGTGAGACACATTTGTGTGTCCTATCATAATGAGATACTTCTGTGTGCCCTAACTCAGTGAGACACATCTGTGTGTCCTATCATAATGAGATACTGCTGTGTGCCCTAACTCAGTGAGAAACATCTGTGTGTCCTATCATAATTAGATACTTCTGTGTGCCCTAACTCAGTGAGACACATCTGTGTGTCCTATCATAATGAGACATATATGTGTGTCCTTACATAATGAGAAACATATGTGTGTCCTATATAACAATGAGGTATACCTGTGTATTTCAACTCATCGAGGAAAGTCTCTTTGTCCAGACACAATGAGATACATCTGTGTATCCTGCCACAATGAGAGACGCGAGTGTGTCTTAAAACAGTGGGATACATTTGCTGTCGTATCACTGTGAAACACACGTGTATGTGTCCTGACACAATCACAAACGTCTGTCTCTGTGCTGTTACAATGCTACATATCTGTCTGTCCAGATGTCAAAGAATCTTAAACATAACCTCAGTATTTTGTAATGACGACATTTTATTGTTTTCTCAGATCCATGTAAAATAAGTAATGGAGGCTGTGACGACTTATGTTTTCGGAGGAATACGACAGTTTATTGCCAGTGCGATTTTGGTCGAACACTGAAACCAGATGGGAAGGCCTGCAGTGCAAGTAAGTACCTTACTTAGGTTAACACAAAGGATTTTTTATATTGCTAAGTAACAGATAGACGAGACGACTAGAACCTCCATCTAGATTTAGGACATACTAAGCTTGTATGACCTGACTATGTAAAATATAAAATGGCCTGACTGTTGAAGCAAGCATATGTAGACTTGCAACCCTATTTAAAACAGTAATGGGTAAAACAATTTAAGCCTGATAGCTCCTTCCCTAAGCTTAAATTTGGTAACACTTGGGATTTTCTAAGTAAATTGAGGTTAGACCCAGGCTCTCTTCAAACTTTGTATATCTTTTGGAGTTAACCTGTAAATTAGATTATACCTAGGCTCTCTTCAAACTTTGTGTACCTTTTGGAGTTAACCTGTAAATTAGAGTAGACCTAGGCTCTCTTCAAACTTTGTGTACCTTTTGGAGTTTACCTGTAAATTAGAGTTGACCCAGGCACTCCTCAAAGTTGTTTACCTTTTGGAGTTTACCTGTAAATTAGAGTTGATCCAGTTACTCCTCAAAGTTGTTTACCTTTTGGAGTTTACCTGTAAATTAGAGTAGACCTAGGCTCTCTTCAAAGTTGTTTACCTTTTGAGTTTACCTGTATATTATAGTAGACCCAGGCTATCTTCAAACTTTCTGTACCTTTTGAGTTTACCTGTATATTATAGTAGACCCAGGCTCTCTTCAAAGTTTGTATGCCTTTATAAGTTAACCTGTAAATGAGGATAGACCTAGGCTTTCTTCAAACTTTGTTTACCTTTTGTAGTTTATCTGTAAATGAGGGTGGACCCAGGCTCACTTCAAAATTGTATACCTTTTGGAGTTGACCTGTAAATGAGGATAGACCTAGGCTTTCTTCAAACTTTGTTTACCTTTTGGAGTTTACCTGTATATTATAGTAGACCTAGGCTCTCTTCAAAGTTGTATACCTTTAGGAGTTGACCTGTAAATGAGGATAGACCTAGGCTTTCTTCAAACTTTGTTTACCTTTTGGAGTTTACCTGTAAATTAGGGTAGCCCTAGGCTCTCTTCAAAGTTGTTTACCTTTTGGAGTTTACCTGTAAATAAGGGAAGACCTAGTGTCACTTCAAAGTTTGTTTACCTTTTGGAGTTTACCTGTAAAGCGGGGTAGACGTAGGCTCTCTTCAAAGTTTGCTTACATTTGGGAATTAGTTAATAAATGAGGTTATTTCTAATCGATTCGTTATGTTTTTCTACCTTTGATAGTTACCAGCAATTGGGGGTAGATTTTATTACTTTTAATAGGTTACCTACAAACGGGAGTTTACCTGTAAATTAGAGTAGTCCTGAGACGGGTGCGGTGACTGTTCGAAGTGTACCTTTCCAACTGGGAATTTACCTGTAAATACGGAATGTTCTAGTCACTGTTCAAAGTTCAACTTCCATTCAGAGTTTCCAGTAAATGAGGGTAATCCTATCCAATGCTCTATGTTTGTCTATAATTTGGATTTTACTTATCAAAAGATGAAAACAACTATCCTCCACACGCAGCTTGTCATGTTTTGTTGGAGAGAGATAATCATTTCATTATCCACTTGACATTTGATGTTTCAGCTCCATTGACAACCAACTTTATGTTGGTAGCAGACCTGTCGCATGACCGTATTATCCAGGTATCTTTGGATGGTAATACACTAGTAAGTTTACCCATCAATAATTTGATGACGCCAGCCATGGTCCGATATGGCCACCATGACGATCTTCTATACTGGTGTGAGGTTGGCAGTAAAGATATCAAGCGGGGTACCCTAGATGGCACGAGAGTTGAAAGATTGATCACCATTGGAGGTAAGCAATTAGGCTCACACAGTTCGTTGCTGTTAAATATTGGTTGATTAAAATAATTTGTTTCAAGTATCTGTCTATTGACGCCGCTCCCTGTCGCCAGTAAGACTCAATTCGCGATACTGAAATAGTATGCCCAAATTATACCCTTTTGATATGAATCAGTTCACTACACCTGGGCCCGTAATCATGAAACCGTTCTGATGCTCAAGCAAGGATTCTGTGCTCAAACCAGTTTTCTTGTATCTTAAGATAATGTCGAACGATCAAAAAGCAATTGTTTACATCGAAAACAGTGTTCCGCTTTTCCCCCCAAAACATTGACATAAAAAACGGAACAAGAAATAAAGCTTGAGCACAAAAAAAACATGCTTGAGCATGAGAGGGGTTTCATGAGTACGAGCCCTGTTGTTGTATAACATTACAACGTTGTTTATATGTTACCTTACATTTTACTTGTTGTTTATATTTAACATTGTATATCACTTGTTTATATGCAAGGTTACATTTTACCAATATGTATGAATTTATATGATTTCGATTTTTTTTTGTTGAAGGAGAAAGCTATCCGGATCGCTTTGCCATTGATTTCACGAGCAGACACCTGTATTACACTGTAGCTCATACTAAAGATATAAATAAGGCGTATATTGCTGTGATGATTCCAAATGTAAGCAAGTCAGAGACCAAGACCCTCATAACAGGCCTAAACTATGTCGGAGGCATTGTACTACATCCAGCAAAGGGGTTAGTCTGCCTGTTCTCATTTTCGCTGTATCCGTTTCTTTGTCCTAACATGAACCGTTTTGTCTGTCCTCCTGTTTTACTATGACCCACTGTCTGTCCTCCTGCCTTTCTTTCTATTCATGGACCAGTGCATCTATCCACCTGTCCTAACATAGACACGTTCGTCTGTCCACCTGTCCTCACATAGACACGTTCGTCTGTCCACCTGTCCTCACATAGACACGTTCGTCTGTCCACCTGTCCTCACATAGACACGATCGTCTGTCCCCCTGTCCTCACATAGACACGTTCGTCTGTCCACCTGTCCTCACATAGACACGTTCGTCTGTCC